AATTCATTTGTGAAAAAGTATTAATAATAAATCTCTAGGCCAGGCACTGTGGCTCACACCTGTAAACCTGGCACTCTGGGAGGCAGAGGCGGGAGGATCTCTTGAGGTCAGGAGTTTGAGACCAGCCTGAGAAAGAGTGAGGCCCCATCTCCACTAAAAATAGAAACAATTAGCCAGGCGTGGTAGCACGCACCTGTAGTCCCAGCTTTTAATACTTGAGAGGCCGAGGCAGGAGGATCATTTGAGCCCAGCAGTCTGAGGTTGCTGTGAGCTAGGCGGATGCTATGGCACTCTAGCCTGGGTGACAGAAGACTCTATCTCAAAAAAAAAAAAAAAAAATTAAATTAAAATAATTCTTTAATAATGTATATTTTCAATGTGTCTAACCAAAATATAAATAATGTTTATATAGTGTTCAAAATAAATTATTAAAAAGCAAACAATAAACTAGGGAAAAGTTTATAATATTTATTTCAAAGATTAAGATCCATAATACAAAACTTAGTCTACCAAATCAATAAGATTAACAATCAGCAGGAAAAAAATGGGCAAAAAAGATAAATAGTTAAGTTACAGAGAGATATTTGATTTAATAATAAACAAGCAAAACTACTTCATCTCAAGAATAAACCAAAAATGTAAATGAAAACAATGAAATATCTGGTTTGGGTTAGCGCACCAGCAATAAATTTAAAAAAACATTTAGCATGCTGTTATTCAAGATGTGTAGGGAGAAACACATGTTGAAAGCAGGAGAGCAAATTAGTAAAATCTTTCTGGCAAGCAATTTTATAACATCCATTAAAATTTTAAATATTCATATTCTTTGACCCATCAATTCCATTTTTGTGAATTTACCTCACAGAAATACTCAAAAGGGAAAGAAGACTAAGCAAGGGTGTTTACTGCAGCCATTGTAATAGCCAAATAAACATAAAAGAAAAAAATAAAAAAATCCCCCTAAATTCCCGTTAATAAATAGATCTGTTAATTGAATGAAAAGTATACGGCTATTAAATGACAATGTATGTGTGTGTGTCTATTTCTCTCTATGTATATCTTTGCTATATAGTTTGCTGAAAAAAGAAAGGCATATCACAGTATAAATATGTTAGGTCTGGAGCCGAGAGAGAGACACAGGAAGCCTCATGTGTAGCAAAATGCTATTTATTTTGAGCATCTGGGTGCAGATGGGTGGAGGCCGGAAAAGCATCCACCAGAGAAAAGTGGAGAGCCTTGGGTTTTATAGAGCGTTTCTCCGGGGAGGGGGGAGTAAGGAAGTGGCCAGAACAGCCACTAGTAATAAATTCTTTTTCAAACTGCCCGAGTCACACCCATCCTTCAGCTCTGGCCTCGGCCTTATCAGGAGAGCTAGGGAGGGACAGACTTCATCTCTATCAGGGAGGGAGGGGAAGGAACGCTGGCTGCAGCTGTCTGTTAGATTTACAGCATCTGGGGACTCTCCACACTGCTGCGGCTATTGTTTTACAAGCCTAAGTTTTGCATTAACCACATTCTGTCCTATACATACTCTTCAGGTTCCCACCTGGAACAAACCTAACAAAATTAATATCTTTAATGTATATAAATATATATTATGTATATAATTACATAAAACATATATAATTATCTTTATAGATATTTACATATTTAATGTATATACATATAAATTCATATTGTGAACTAAAATAAAATCTTAAGGCTCCCCCCAGCACCGGCTGACTGAATGGACCCCCTCTTGGCCAAGGGGATGTCCTAAAACTAAATTGCCTGCCAGGAGGAGGGAGGTCAGACATGCCTCATCATGCCCTCCACCCTTCTTGGAGATGTCCTTTGTAACCTATTAACAGGCCCAAGGCTGTGCAAGACAAATCTGCAGGTCCTCAATCGACACAACAAATATATGGCCTGTGGCTAGTCTCTGATTAACAGACATCCTTATCTTAAAACATCCCAAGCCTTTAGACAAAGCTTCATGTAACCCAGCCACAGCAAGTCCACTTGCTCAAGGCTTCTTGGGCGTGGCTCCGGGTCATGGTCCTCGTAGTTGGCTCAGAGTAAATCTCTTTAAAATTATTTTGCGGAGTTTGGCTTCTTTTCCATTGACAAGATGTATACATTCAAATACAAATACAAATTCAAATACATATAGATATTTATGTTATATATATTTAATGTATATACATATAAATTTCATATTTAATATATATTTTAATATTGCATAATTCTTTGAAATTTATAGATATTTAGAAATAGACACAAAACTTTTAATGGTGATTATATCTAATGAGTGATATTGAGGCTAATAGAAACCATTTTCTATTTATAATACATGTACACTATATGCATTCTATATGCACAAATATGCATTTTTATTTGAAATTTTTTTTACAGTGACATTCTACTACTTTTTATTTTGTCAAAGATACCATTTATCTTCTCTAGAAAGTCAGGCTAGTTGCCAATATAAAAGGTTAATGGTGGCCCTTTTTAAATACTGTAATGTTCACACGAGCAAAGTAAAAGTAATGTGTGACTAAAGCAGTCATTCAGCTAAGAAAATTCTGGGGAAAGAAGAGTTATTGAAACCAAATTGTGAAAATGCTGACTCTTGCTCTTGTGTTAGAGCTAAGGTGTCCTCAATCTAGCCTCTTTATATCAGCATAAAAGGAGGAGATCACAACAAATATTTAAAAAATCAGGAAATGACCCAGCTCACTGTGGTATGGTGCAAAAAGAAAAGATGTTTCATGTTAGGATGAAATTAAGCTAAACTATTTCTGCAAAGCACTTACTTTTGTGATAAGGTAGCCTGACTTGACCGTAGTGAAGCCATTTTTGAAGTGAGATGGAGCAGCCATGACTACAGGATGACCCCCCCCTTCTTCTGACCTATGAGCCAAATAGTACAGGATGGAAAACAAAGTAGTTAACGAATGTTTAAGGCCCCAGCAAGATGTCGTTAAAGTTTTACAGCTCCAGTCTATATAGAATCTATAACTAAAGGTTTCCGAACTGATGCTACCTGCTTCTGTAAACCGGCGTGCGTAAAGATTGTGATCGTAACAGGTGGTCTGAGGCTGGTCCCAGACCCGGGTGATGGAATTTATTGCAAAATTACGTGCCTTGCTGTATGCTTAGAGTCACGTAGACCCCCTGAGTGCGACTGTATAAAAACCGCCTTGTCTCACTGGGCAGTACCATTCTCTGTACCTGTACCCTGACAGGACAGGGGTGGTCGCTGGCCGGCTAATAAAGACTCATAATTTGGCTCAATTTGGTCTTTAAGTGGTCATTTCTCGCACTCCGTACTATAACACTCTCCATCTAATAATGAAGCAAAATATGAAACCAAGTTGATTAGCCTAAACTGAGGGAACTATTAGGTGTCTGACTCACTCCCTAACCATGTCACCTTTATTTGCAGGGGAAGAAAGTTCCACTATAAAGGTGTTTTGTTCTGTTTTTTTCTCTCTTTTTAATCCCTTAAGCTGTTTTTTCTGTGTATGTATGTTTGCTTGGAGGGGCAAGGCCAGGGACTCCAGAATGTGCAAGAAGTTTCCAGAAAAACGTTTCTCTCTAACCAAGAGGAAGTTCTCACTTTGATCTGACTCCTTTACCTGAGGCTGCATTGCCGGAGCTGAGGCTGTTGAGCCCTCGAAAAGTGCCTGGGACAAATGGAGATGTCAGATACTGACCAGAGTTTGAAGACTTCGAATGACTGACTGTAAAATATCTCCACATTTTTTATATCGGTTATATATTGATATATTTTTGATATACTGACTTAGACAAAATATATCACCAAAACTAATTTCACTTGTTCCTTTCTTACTCTTTTTTTTTTAATGTGGCTGCTGGAAAATGTAAAACAAAACATCTGACTTTTGTGCATACTTCTGCCGGGCAGCGCTGACGCTAAGCGACCGCAGGGCCGCGCGGGCAGGTTCTTCCCCTCCCTGAGTCTCAGTTCGTCCTCGGACTCTTGGGAAGACGGAGAGCCCAGTGCATGGGACGTTTCTAGCATCCTGCCCTAGACGCCCTTTGGTGAGAGGCTCGTACTAGCTGCTTACTCAACAGCTGCCGTCGCAGCTCCGCCGGCTGCTGGTGACACGCAGCACCCGGCCCGGCTCGCTGCATCGGGATCCTCGGAGCCTTTTCCGGGAGGCCGAGACCCGCGGCCGGGCAGCGGGGAAGGTCGCCCACCGCCTGCCCCAAGCCCCGGCCGCGCCTGCAGGCTAGAGGGACCCCGAAAACACCCGGGTCGCCCTTCCCGACGCCGCGGGCCTGGGAGAGGGGCACGCGGACGGGTGCAGGTCAGGCTGTGTCCAGAGCCAGGGAAGGGGGTGGGATGAGGGAGGACAGGGGTCATTTCAAGGGCGATACCACCTTTCACTGTCACAGTGACGCTGCCGTCAGTTCCCACTGCGACAGTGAGGAAACGGGCAGGGGCCGGTGTGCCAACGACCTGGCAGCGCCCCGGCACCGCTCCAGCCAGGGCTGGGACCCACCGGCCCAGCTCAGCTACCTGCCTTTGGGGTTTGGTCCGATGCCTACCCTCGCTGGACCGCGCGCTGCTCAGGTATCACGTGCAGACAGCAACGCCCGCGCGCAGGGCCGGGCAGGGTCACACGGCCAGGGGTGCTCAGACGGCGCTGGGGAGGTCGCCAGGGAGCTGCCATGGGCTCTCTCGGTCCCGGGAGCGGGTTATCCGCAGCCTCCAACCGAGCAGCGGAGGCCGTGGTGACACCAATTCTGCACAACCATGAGCGACGATGTGGGGGCTCAGGTGGGGCTGGGGTACTTCCCCAGCAACATCCTATGGACACCTCCTGCACTGTGGTGTCCCAGAGCTTGGGATAAATAGGTATGTGCCGGCTCTTGGCTGCTTCATTAAACTACAACTCATTTCCTCACACCCAAAGGACCTTTCGAGTCCCAGAATGCCTATTCTGTCCCCATCTATTTGACTCACAGTCTGTGGAACTTCTCTTGCACAGATGCCCCTCCTGGACTGCCAGCTCCTTACGAGCTACCGGGCACAGCGCCTGGCCCACCTGGTCCTGAGCTGCATCACCATGGGGTATGTCTGGCAGGAAGGAGACACGCAGCCTGAACAGGTAAGGGGCACAGACATGCTTGTCCCCTGTTCCTGGGCACGTGTGCTACTTCTGGGACAATGCTCTCTGCTGGGCACTGCAGTTTTCCTGGAAGATGGGTGCTTTCCTGTTCTTTTCGATGGGTAGCCATTGAAGGAAGGGTGGAGGGCCCATTTACATGATTTTTTTTTTCTTGACTAAGGAGCTAATTTTCCTTTAAATTGATAGTTGTGGCTCCCTTTAATTAGTATCTGAATCTATTTTTGTCTGGCACCCTCTTCCAAGAATGTTTCAAGAGCTGAATTTGAAGGCAGATTCTGAGAGTTTATTAAACAAACAAACAAAAAACTTAGAGCATTTTAAACTAGTATACGTATCAGTTATCTTGGTTGCTTTTCACAATCCTGCAAAGTAAACAGGGCTACACTATACCCGGACGACGGAGGAGCACAGAAGTTGAATTCCTTGCCCATGGTCAGGTGGCTAGTTAATGGAAAAGCCAAGACCAGAGATCAGATCTTCTGATTTCACTAATGCAGCCTTCTTTCCCCAGAGGGACACAAGGAAATTTATAACACTAAGCTTTATATTTTAATACTGCTTTCTCTCTAGCTAATTATTAGCCTGTTGCCTAATATAATGCATCTAAATCTCTTTTGAACCTTCGCATAACTTTAAAGTTTGAACCTGAACCTTGAGACGTGAAATCTGCACGTTCCACTGCCTATACTGTAAATTACTATTCATTTTCATTTTTTGTTAGTGCACCTTCCCCGGAAATCAGGCAGTCACCTTGTCCTAGAGCTCCACCGTTAAGGGAGCAGCTCAAGCCCACTGCGTTTGCCTGATGGGTTCTGCCCGTTATCTCACAGGTGAACACATGAGGCCGAGGGAGAAGGGAAGTGTGGGGCTGCTTCAGGTTTTTATATGCCAGTACATCTCATTTTAAACATTTGTGTGTCTGACGGTGAGAAATTTGACATCCAGGCACAAGCAAGTGGATCCCTCTGCCGTCTGCTCCTCAAACCGTTATCCCAGACTGGGGCGAGGGGTAGAGGAAGGTGGTGGGAATGGATGTCTCCAGCCGTGTCCATGTAGCTCCGGGCCACCAGCGAGGCTCCTTGTTCACACCGCTGCCACCCTCCACCTCCGATCATCTGTGACTTTCTCTGCTCCTCCTTTGACTTCTCAGCTAAGCGAGTCCTCACTTCTCCACTGCAGTCTGCGGAAAGTGGACCTTAGGTTCACATTTCTAAACTCTTCAAGTCTCTTCATGATTTTCTATTTAAGAAATAATTCTATCCCAAATTTCTCTAAAAATCTAAGGGAAAACAAAGGCAGAAATGGGGCTTCTTTAATAGATCCTTCTGTCTTAAGGGGAGGTGAAAACGGAGATGGAAAATGGATGCATAGGAATGTTGTCTTTTTCCTTTTGAATCTAGACTAACGTAACCTTTAGCACGGATAGAAACCCCCGTGGTCCGAGTAGCTTTTCTGGATTTATAGCAGATAAAGCTCTGTAGAGTGCTCCTCAGGTAAAAGAGGGTGAATGAGGTCTCTCTTGAGGTGGCTTACTTGACGTCGTCATTGGGTTCGACTTACGAGTGAGGGACAGAGTCAGTTTCCACGCAGGCTGAGGTGGTCTGTCCTCCTCACTCCTGTAGGGTGCCCTGGTCTCCTGATTCTCACACGTTCCTATGTCTGTTTATGTATCTCTGTCTATCTAGAGAGATTTTTCCCCACCGCTAATCTCCTCAGTCCTCTGCACGTTTTGGTGATGCCCTTCTTTGCATAGTCAGCTATCAGAGGTTATTTTAGAGTCTATGTGTATGTGTGGCCCAACCTGGCGATTTTCACATATATTACACTGTGTTCTCTTAAATACTGTTTCCACTGGGTTGTTAACAGAAAGGTGTGTGTGAGGTGTACGAATCTGGGTCACTCAGGTAATTCCAGTTGGTCGCCGGGTCATATCTCTGCCACAGGACTGCTGGAATGAAAGACCACCACGGTCGTTTGCTCAGGCATATTCTTTCTAGAATATGCTGATTGTCTGGATTTATATCTGAAAGGTTCTGCCGAGAAATCTTGCCCTTCCCCTTGTGGAAGTCTCCAGGAACTTGGGGCTGCCTCCTCTCCTGGTCCACGCAGACTTGGTGCTGACGAACTGGACCAAAAGGGACCCAGCAGGGTAAGGAAGGGAGAGGGTGCTTTGAATCTTAAGGGATGACTCTCAGTAGGAGGCCGTCTTACCAGTTAACTCCTCCCACAGGAAGCGCCCAGGCCTTTTCAGCTACTTGATGTTTGGGGATGTTCGTATTTATTGTCTGCTTTTATAATGCCAAAGAAGGGTGAACTTGAACACAGGTTCGGAAATCGCAGGCCCCAGAAGTTTCCTCCCGATACACTCTGAACGCGCTGGCCCAGACCACTTCTTCTTGTTTGCTTCCACGTCACATCCGAGTTTCTCAGTGTGACCTTGGGGCTCCTGCAGAATCAGACTCATTCATTCTTCTTCACCCAACTGTTTGTTCCCTAATATGCCTCCCACTGAAGTCAAGTGAGAACCAGGAGAACCAATAAGCGACCGTTTACACAGTGATCACGAATGAACGATTGCGGGCGAGTCCAGAGCAAGGGCGCTAGGCACGCTGGGCTGCACTGTGGTTAATGAAGCCGTCATTCCACTGAGCTCACACCAGTCTTCGCTCAGTCGGGCTGAGCCTAGGGGCATTTGTTTGCAGAAAGAAACAACATGAGTTTTGTTTTGTTTTTGCTTCTGACCATATCCTGCACAATACGTGAATTTTTAACAAATAAGAAATCTAATAAACAGTCAGAATTAGGTGGAAGAGATGAAATGTTAAATTTCCCTTTGAACTTCACTGTCACAGCCGAGCATATTTCAGGCTGTAGATGGAAGAGATAGCACTGTCCTTGTGACTGCATAAAGAGACATTGGGGCTGAATCTTAGGAAGAACGTCCTTAGCGTAAGGGCTGTGGGAAACCCCGGGGTTGCCAGAGATGATGGGAATCTGTTTTAAAGGAATAAACATTTAATAGCGAGCTTAGCTTTTGGACTAATTTATGTGTCCCTTGGAAGAAGTGAGATTGGGCCACCTCATCTCTCTACACATCTCTGAGCACTGGGAGCTTATGTTTTCTATAATTATTAATTGTGATCTTTGACCAATTCTGCTTTAACAACAAAATAGGTGACCATTGAAAGCTGCTGAATCTGGCCCAGAATTTGGATGAAAAAGAAATAGTAAATATATGTGCATAAGTCTGGTCAAGTTGGATTTATGATTCAAAGAGAAGAAAGGAAGGTTGAAGGGCAAGTGGATGTATTGGGAGGGTAAAGTTGAAAATATAACAACAAAAAGCTAGTTTCCTAGGAAGTGAGGGTGCAGGGCTAGTGCAGTCCCAGAGACACAGACACAGTCCTGGGTCTCACCAGATATCCTTGGTAATTATCCTTTGCAATCTTTTATTGATAGTAGGCCCAGCACAGAGCTAAGTGCTATGAAGAAATGAAAGAAACAGAGGCAAAGTACTGCCCAAACAGTCAGGTAACAAGACAAAGCAGTGTGCCCATGTCAGAGTGACTCAAACAATATCCCCTTTAGAATTTCAGAGAAACAACATAAGCACAGGCTTTAAAATCAGCAAAAGCCTTGGTAAGGAGGCAGAGCATGATCGAAGGCAAGTCCTAAGAGATAAATGGGAGTAAAATAACTAGAACCAAAATGAGAGCTGTGGGAATTACACAAATATAAGGGGAGTGAAATAATTAATCTAATGGCCACAGGTCAGATATTCTGGGGCTGAGATGTGAGCTGAGACTTGACTCTTTATCATACAGGAGCCCTGGTCTAGGCACTACCTGTGGCACTCAGAGTACACGAATGTGTGTCTGTGTGTGCACTGCACATGAGTGTGCAAGCCTGTGTCCATGTGACCCTAGTGTAAGGTTTTTGGATGGTCGGCGCCAGAGAAAGAAAGATGAGCAGAGTGAAAAGGGCAAGCAACGAGGCTTTACTGGGGGAAGGGGAAAAAGAGCGCTCCCGGGCGAGGTTCACCGGTCCCGAGAGAGGGGGCCAGAGAAGTCGCGACGCCCGGAAGTTTTGAGCAGGCTTATAAAGGTTTTAGAGTTGGGGGACGGGAGTTTTTTTCGGGGCGAAGTTTTAGCACACAAAGTGGAGAGTTCTTTGTTACAGTATTAGGGCAGGACTCATGGGCTTCTTTTTTCGCCTTTAGGGAGAGGAGGGGTGCCTGCCACCAGCCTTACACCTAGAAGGTATATCTGGTTTACAAACTGAATTGTTCTTTTATTTTCTTTTTCTCTTGGTGATTTCCAATAACTGAAATTGGACTAGACCCCTGGAAATCAGGTAAGTCCTCAGAAATCCTTTGCTCACTTTAGAATCCATGCTAGCTTTAGAAAGTTTACAATAAAACGAAAAGGAAAGCGTACCGGATTATATACAGTATAATATTCACTAAATAAAATTCATGAAAAAATAGTAGAAGAAAATGTGCCAAAAACGAACAGTCCAAAGTTAACAGTGGTTGCCTCTGCCTTGCAGGGTACAGGGGATTAATTTTCTTTACTGTATTTTCCAATGTGTACATAATAAAACAAGTAAAGTGCAATGGAAGAAAAGAAAACTTCACCAAATTTCTGTGACTCTTTGAAGTCTAATGGTCTGAAAAGATTCCTCGTTTCATTATGACTTCTATGAAAGGCCAGCATGCAGGCAGTGGTAACTGCAGGTGCGGAAGAATCCCTTTGAAATATCTGTGATTACACGGGCTGGCGCTCACGGGCAGAGCTGGGCCAGTGTCTCCTTAGGCTCCACTCTCCGCGGAGACCGAAAGCAGCCCCTGAGACAACTCTCCTCTCCCATCAGCAAACCCATCAAATAAAGGGGTCCGGGAAAAAAGCTATAGCTCAGAGAGGGGGGCGTGGAAGATAGAAACATCATTTCCCAAGCTAATGTACCCGCTGGAACCAGAGAAGTCCTAACTTACATTTGTTTTATTTGGTTTTGGTGTTTGGCTTGTTTTTCATCTTTTCTCGTGCTTAAAATGTTAAAGGCAAAAGTGATCTATGGAGTTAAGTTTTGAGGTTGTGTAGACTGGATCTATGAAACGACAGCAGGTCATTTAAAAATGATGCTTCTGTAACAGTCTCCCAGCTCCCGCTATTACACAGCATGTGGTTAAATAAATAAATATATATTTATATATATGTACCACAGATCGGAAAGCGCTCTAGCCTGCGTTATTAAACCATTCCCAACCTGGTCCAGCTACGTGATTTGGGCAAGCTGCTTTGCTTTTCTGGGCCATAGTTTCATACCTGTAAAAAGGGAGCATGGACTTCGCTCTTGCCTGGGGTCGATTTGGCTCTAAGACTGTGGCTTTTGACAGGAACGGTGTGATGGGCCATAGAATTGGCCCTGCAGCCCTGTGAAGAATCAGGTAGAAACTGCCCTCCCATGTTTCAGCCGTTCCATTGCGGGATGGGCTGGCACCGTCAGGGCCGTGCTAGACTTTGAGCGTCCTCTGGTCAGGTGAACGTGAGTTTGAACTGCTCTATTCTCTTTCCTGTCTGGACGTCGCCGAAGGCAGATGCTCAAGCTCAGGGCTGTCTTACGGAGAGGAGCAAGTGGCTCACTGGTTTGCCTCGCAGCAGCTATTTAACGGGCGGGGGGGACACCTGCAGGCAGTGAGTGGTCACAGCATGGTGTCCACACCTCTGATCCTGCGACCGTCTCCTTCCCAAGGAACCTGGAGATCATCGTCTCATTTCCGGGGGGAGAGAGCCTGCGAGGTTTCGTACTGGTGACTGCTCTGGCAGAGAAAGCAGCAGTGCCTGGGATTAAGGTATCTTCTCACTTCGTGGCGCTTTATTCTTTCAAATGCGAAATGAGTCTGAGCTCTGCTCCCCGCCCCCAGCCCCGTCCCTGCCGTAGATTTCTCAGTACAGAAGAACACAGACCTCGTCTTCCTTAGCCCAGGTCTGAGAGAAGAGATCTGCGTTCTAGCCCGCGGTGTTAGCTCCTTTTTCTCAATTCCTGTAAAGCCTGAATCAACCATTTGTCCATCCTGCACACACGGTATTGTTCTAGGCAACGGGAAACCACAGTGAACAGACAGACATTGTCCCAGCCCAGGAGCCTACCTGGGGGAGCTTCCTACACAATATCCAGTGGAGAACAACGGATTATAGTAGGGCGATAAGGGAAAAAGTGGGGGTTACCATGAAGAGGCAGCTAAAACCTAATCCAGACTTGAAGGGTCAGGCAAAGCTTCCCCAGAGAAATGACATGAAAACCAGAGGGGCCCATACAAAGAGAGTGAGAGGGAGGGAGAGAAGGAAGGAGCGAAGCTCATTATTATTATTCCTGGCAGAGAAAACTGCTGTGAAAAGGCCCAGAGGAAAATGAAATGAAAAGTATTTAGCGCTGGAAGGCATCGTTCAGATGATCTAGCCCCAGGTTGCAAATTTGAATTTCTTCAAGGACCAGACAGGTACCAGAAAGGCAGATACAAGACAAAACACCATGTAATCTGCCCGAGTTTCGTGCCTTGCCTCAAGACATTTAAGGCAAATGTATGCCTTCCCTCCCCGCCGTCACCGGGGAGCGTATGTCGCGTGCCTACCATGTCCTGGCATAATTGTTCCAGCACTTTCTTTCACTCTCAGAAGCGAAACTCCATGGTTACTTTCATTCTCACTCACGTGCCTGGCTGGTGGAAGGCACAGGATCAAACGCTGGCCTTCCGCGTGCAGGCGGGTAAGGCAGAGACCGCCCTGAGTCAAGGGAGGCTTCCTGGCAGAGGGGCTGATTCCTGGAAGACAGAGCTTGGGAGTGAGGATGCCCTGGTTGGGGATGCGGCAGTAGAAGTGATCATAACGTGTGATACATCAGGGAGAAGAAATGGGCAAAATAACGAGAGTTCAGCCCTTGGGAGGTACCAGGAGTAGCAGTCAGTGGAAAGATACAGAAAATCCTCACCAGGCGTCTGTCTGGGAGGTGCCTGGAGAGATCAGACTCTGGGGCGGCCCCACGGCGGAGCTGGTTAGGATGCCCCCAGGCAGCTCTGACCCAGGCGGGCAGTCAGGGGGTGCCCTCCCCGGCTCGCTCCACCCCCGTGGGCTTCAATGCAGTGCTAACGCTAATCTCATCCGCAGGCCCTTGTCCAGGCTACGCATGCCATCTCGCAGCCCAGCCAGGATGCCCTGCTCCAGGCCCTGCAGCAACTGAGACTCTCCATACAGGCCATCACCGGAACCTTGGGACAAATGCACGAGGTGCTCCTGCGGGACCGCGGAGGGAGGGCTGCGCCCGGGCCCGCACGGGCGGTGACACGTTTGCCCACCAGATGGCGCCGGTGCACCGTCCTGTTTCGAGGCATTTGCTGTGCACCTGCTCGGGGAACCAGCGCCTTTGCAGCGCTGTCGCGCCGGCTCTGTCCTTTGTGTTCTCCTGGGATTCCGTGGCCAGATGTTTCTGTGGCATGTTCAGGTCCTGCCTGAAGCTTGGAAGGCGGGCCTGGGGTAGGCGACAATATTAGCCGTGTATGCCCCGCCCAGCAAGGTTAGGCTGCTGCAGGGCAGGCTGGAGATGGTGCAGCTCGTCTTTACCCTCTGACGCCCCTTTCGTCTCTCCCTCCTCCTGAGATGGCTGACCCCGGCCTCAGGCCGTGTCGCTGGCCGGCCCGTGCCGCTCTTCTGTGGCCAGTGCGAGCATGAGGTGCCACGGATGAGAAGGTCGTCACAATCAAAGTGGAGTCACTTGACAAAACCAAACAAACCAAAACAAATGGAGTCACTTGTGTTAAAAAAAAAAAAAAAAAAGAAAGGAAGAAAAAGATCTGACAAATAAAGCCAGGGGAGGCAATGAGGAGAGGATTCTCATGCCCGATAATAAAAACTATCAGAAAAGACTCTGCAAAAACCACAACCTTGTACAAAAGCTACCAAAACCTTACACAAAAAAATGCTTTTGCAAGGACGTCTGCCTGGCAACTGCCTGTCCAACCTCGGATTGGCATCGCTTTGTTATTGTTCCTTGTAGCCGAGGATAAATATCTTAATAAATGATGTCCTCGTCATTTTTCCTTTGAAAACCTTTGTCTTCCTTTACCTGCCTGAATGCACACATAGTTCACCACGCAGGCGTGGTCCCGTTGCAATGCCCTGCTCAGGAATAAATACCGTTTGCTTTCAGAGAGCCCGTCTCTGTTTGCTATTTAGGTTGGCACAGGTGTGGTCAGTTAAGAGGCTCGTGCTTCGTGGATGGTTATGTCTTATTCTGGTCAGTGTGTTCAGTCTCCAGTGTCTGGGAGGCTCTTCAACCTCAACTTCAGAGGAATCTGACCAATGTCCCTGGCGTGTGTTTAAGGAGGGTGTGGGGAGAGGGGTGTGATCTGTGAACAAGAGAAAAGCAGAATGTTAAGGACCAATTTCCCGAATCCTGCTTCCCTGAAAGAAAGAGCGAGATTGTGGGGAAGGAGAGAGTTTACAGGAAACAGGATGGGAGGAGAAAGAGCCAGGTGGTGCTGAGAGCTTCCTTACCTTGTATTCAAAGAGTAAATTTATTTGTCACCTCTAGTAGAAATCCAGCCGAAGTCACAGGACTGTATATTTTTTCCATTTAACTTTCCCGTTTTACATTTTATATTTGCATTTTCTCCATTGCCTTGAATCGTCACTCTAGAGCCCTCGTGATCACATCAGTAGTTCTCCTGCCAAACAGCCCCCCTAAGTTTGTGTCGTGGCGTTGCCAAGCTAACGTGAGATGAGCTGTGTTTTTGCTGTGCCAAGAAACCCTGAGTTCACTACTCAGGGTACGAGACGCCTCGGATACAGTGCAGGGGCCACGCGGACGACGGTTCCGGAAGGTCAGGAGAGAGGCCCACAGTGCGTGCTGCGGTCAGGTGCCTCGGAGCGTCGGACTGGCACCGGCTTCCCTGGCGCTCATTTGCAGAGTCACTTTGTAAGCCCAGGCGGACACCTCGGCTGCCCTGACCACCCTCTGCAGGAGGAGGTCCCAGGGCCACCTCCCTTATTTCCCCCAGAGGCAAATTTCCCCACACAAATGTAATTTGTTTTAAATGTTTCCCTACTGGTCACATTCGTGTATATGGTAGAGATGAGTGTGTTAGACTGTATTTTCCAAAGGTGGCTACAGCGACACACCCCCGTGCCATCCCGCACGCTCTTCCACAATGTGGCCTGGACCCTGCTTGCATCCAGGGATAGAGTCTGTCCCTGCGTGTGTCGTGCTCGTAACTCACAGAACGCAGCAGAAGGACAGCACGTGACCTCTGAGGCACGGCTAGAAAAGGTGACGCGGCTTCTGCCTTGGATGCCGTGAAGAGTCCAGCTACCCCGAGGCCACCGTCCTGTGGTGCGAAAGCGGACCGCACAGCAACCAGGAGCGGGCGCTCCACGTGACACCTGGCCGGGGGGGGGACTGCGCCCTCAGATGACTCTGGGCCCCCATCCCCAGTCGCCTTCTGTCTTCGAGCGCCCCCAGCCGAGGTCCCAGACACTGACACAGAGGGAGCCATCTCCCCTTTGTCCTGTGTGGACCCTGCCCAGCAGGATGGAACGGTGGTTTTGTGCCACTAAGTTTCTAGTTGTTTCTATGCAGCAATAGTAACCACAAAAACGAAGTTATAAAAATAATAGCACATACTAGAAACTGCAAGTTTTAAGGAATCACACAGATTCTTCAGTGATCGTCTCTGGTTATGGTCCCGAGCTTTCTCCTGTAATGAGGAGACGCTGCCCAGGGCGTGGCTGGACTTCTTCCCTCTGCTTGTATTTGCTGCACAATTTTCAGATTTTCAAGTGTTCGAATCATGGGCAGACATATTTCATGGCACGTTTGTGAGGATAGCTCCTGTTCTCTAAGCGTTAGTTTTCTCCTCAGACAAGTAGAAGGATATTTTTCTCTCCAGAAAGCCGGGGAAATGTTTGCCTTTATTTCCTTCTGAATCAACAGAATTTCCAACTTCTGCCTGACTCCCTGGCAGCTTTAAGCATTTTTTCTTAATAGCCATGAGGAGTTAAAATATTTCCTTCTGACAATTTAGCGTCCGTGTTTAAATCAGGTTTCTTACGAGTAGATGGGAGCTAAACTGTAGTGTGAACTGCTGCTGCTGTTCCTTCTGATGAGTTCTCTTAATTTTGTGGAAGGAATTTTCCATCTTAGCTTGTGAACTTGTTGTGTCTAAACTCAATTAGAAAGTCATTAACATGGAATTCTTCTCTGTTTAATTCCATATGATAATAAAATCATGTTAAAGTTTCTTTTTTTATTTTTTTGACCTGGCAAGCTGTCCATGATATATTGCTAAGTGAAAAAAGCAGGTTACAGAACAGTATGCGCACAGGGCACTGCAAAGGCAATATATGTGACCTAAACGTTTGTACCCCATAAAAATTAGAAATAAAAAAAACCAGTATGCACAATATGCAGCAATTTTTATAAAAATACACATATTTTCTTAACTGACCACTCATTTCTTCCTATTTGAATTTTCTATAATGCAGACTATTTTTTAATGGGGGGTAGGCAGTGAGGGAGTTATTAAACTCAGATTAGCCCAAATGCGCTCCCAAAGGCTCCTTCCGGCAAAGGAAATGTTTCTGTTCAGCCTGTATCTGAGAAATGGCTCTGACCTTATAGATTTGAGTGTCCTTCAGATAATGTTCACTTGGACCTCCTTTCAGCCAAACTGTACAATAGCAATTTTTGATATTAAAGCTTAAAACAAACAAAAAACTTAATTAATACCAAAAAGAAGAGATGAGAAAATACAAATCTTCTCTTTATTTATCTGACTTTTACTTGCTTACTTACTTTTAGAGACAGAGTCTCGCTGTGTTGCCCAGGCTGGCCTCAACTGTCTGCCTCAAGCGATCCTCCCCCCTCAGCTTCCCGAGTAGCTGGGGCTACGGGTGCGCGCCACCGTCTCAGCTCAAGTAACTTTTTTATTTTTAGATTTTTTTTGTAGAGATGGGGTCTCGCTTGTTGCCTTGTTGCTTGTTCTCATCTTAGACTTGAGAAAACACAAGCCCTCACTTTTATAAAGAAGCCAGGCACATGCTGCTGGGTTATACAAAGTCGCGTTTCCCGAGTTCAGTCGATGGCGACGGTACGGCAGGAGTTGGCGGCTTCTGTTTCACACCGTCCGCGACACTCGCTCTGTTCTCCGTTTCCTTCGCTCAGCCATGCGAAGGTGGGTGTGCGCAGTGGTGTCTGATGTGTCCTGGTTCCCACAGTATTAATACAACAGGAAACTTGATATTTGAATTAAAAAGGTAAAGTGAGGACATTTACCATCAGACTGTAACATTCCTCTTCTGAAAGAAGATACTGCAGTACGTGAGGATGTGCTTTCAAAAAAATCACAGGCCTAGTGGAGGGCACCTTTCAAGCACACCAGGACCGCGTCTAACTCAGATGCATCCCTGCAGTCGTAATCGCGCAACTCAAAAACAATCTAGTCTTAGAAGCTCCCGTAACTCAAAAACAATCTAGTCTTAGAAGCTCCTGTAACTCAAACAGCAGCAACAGGCACAATGAATAGTATAAATGCCATTAATGGGCACTAAGTTTAATAGGGCAGACAATATTTGCCTCTGCATTCACACTTATTCAATTATGTTTTTATTTAAAAAATGGTGCTGCTCAAGCTATTAATGTTTTACCAAAAATTAATGTTGATAAATATAGCAAGTGCCAGAAATCTAGCTGGGTTATCATGCATGCATATAACCAAGACAAACTCAAATTTATAATAAAGGCGACTTGCATGCCAAATGAACTCTACCCTTGTGTTCTGTTAAAAGAGCAAGCATCATGCATTAACCCAGCTGCTTACTTGAATTATAAAAGTAACACGATCCAATATGAAAACAAGAAACTACAAATCCCTGGCAGTTATAAATTGCAATGCACAGTACATACAGAGCAACGCATTCTAGTACAAAACAAAAATACTGTAATATCTTTAAAATCCAAATTTTTAAAAAAATCGTTCATGAAAAAGATTCTCAAGTCAGAATTAACACGTCAGTCATTGCAGCTGTGTAGGTGTGTATATGTATGTCTGATCCAGAATCAGGCAGACTCTTGCTTCTCTACACACCCCCTCCCATCATTCCTTCAGATCAGGAAAACTGAATTTGTTGAACACCAGAAGTCTGTGGCCATGATGTCATGTAAACCACAGCACTGTGTTGTTGGCTGCCTGCGGTCATCGAGCCCGCCGCTAACTGGCTAGTAAACACCT